ACTTGTGGGAGTTCATCGAGAAATGCTTTATGCATAAGCTTCAACAGAACTAGCTTAAAACTATAGCTCAACGGATGCCATCAGCTTGTTTTAACACGTCCAACGAACTCATGTCCTTTGGTAAGTTGAAAATTGAACAGAATCATTGCCTATAAACCGGAGACGAACGGGATCATCGAACATCTTTTAACTTTCTGTCATATTAGTTGTAGTCTAAGACTAGTTTAAGATGGGTCTTTATTGAACATTTTTCCCTTGAATTGCCCGCTCGGACAGGCAATCAGAAGGCAGGATTCACGATATCTTACCTGCCCTTATCTCGAAATTAAAACTGAGTTTGTTACTGCTGCTGTATTTCAAAAGCGCTTTGTTTTCTACAGATAACGGCCGAACATCAAGATCGTCCAGTTTTTACCATATTTCTAATAATAAACTTCATCCCAAAATATCTCGGTAACGCTTAATTCATACATTTCCCTTAAACTTCACGAACATCGACGTAGCTACTGGAGAAAAAAGCTCCCGTGAACGATTTTGCAAGAACACTAAAGAATACGGCTGCAAGCATAGCGTCGTTGCTATGACAACTCGATATCACAACCCCCCGATCAAAACAAATTTATCTAGTACAACTATGGCGGTAATTTTTCCAAATCTTTGTTAATGGCCACGTAGTTTCTCCTCAAACTAAGGACGTATTGACTCAGAAAAACCCTAAAAGAGATTTTGTATACGGGTTTAAGATTTATCGACCGGTATCGAGTTACTTGTTTTCCGAAACACTTTGACAATGAACATCTGTTCAGTTATCAGTCCGGAATATCCCTAAATTTAAGGACAGGGCCAACTAGTCATGCGGCACTTTTCAACCAATGAGAAGGGGCGCTTGTGTTTATCAACAAACAAATCAAAACATCGCCCCAGTGATCAAAAATTTTCAAAACAACGGACGGAGTCGGACAGAATTAAAGATGAGCTTACAGTACTCGTCTAGGTTTCACATTTAATATTTCAAAGAAAACATTTCATGTAAGAGAATAAGAGCATTAATCATTGCAAGGAATCATTGGGGTGTTCGAACTGATTCCTGACCGATCGCAAAGGTCGTGGCTTCACTGGCATGGCTTGCAAGATTTTTGATAGAAGCAACTGGTCCCGTAAAAAATAGCCTTAGAGGGAGTGTGAAAATTTGTTGAGATCGTACAAAACAGGATTGGTACTACCTATTAACTTCTACAGGACAAGAATCAAAGAACCAGTCATCATAACAAGAATAGAAAGTAGTCCAAATTTATTAATTTTTCTTGTTTGTTTTTTTGTGTTGTTTCGTGTTGACTTCACGCATCTGGTGCTTTCTTTGCTTGCTGTAGTACCTGCAATGCTTTAATTTTATCCCAGATAATCAGTGCATGTTCAATGAGTAGCGAAAAACAGCATTTACAATTGAGATTTGCCTTGTTTCTTTGATTGTTTTTTAACGGTGGGTGAACATTTGGAGAATCCAACAACATTAAATCTTTCCAGAATAGTGAATTTCAGAAACAAAGCGGTTAGTATCTACCTTCTGTACCTTGCGCTTATGATCTTCAATTTCATCCCCGCAAATTCGGCAAAGTGAGGCGAGATGTTGGACGTGAATATCCATGAGACTAATAAAGTTGTTTTAGCCTTGAAAAGAAAAAAGGCAAAGGCTCGTACTAATGCGAAAAAAAGTAATAACACGGCTTTTGTGAGAAACCCGGGAGTGGAAAACGTACGTGTTTTGGACCTCGGAATTCAAAAATTGTCTACCAAAATTCTAGGTTGTCTACCATCCCCACATTCAACATGATAAAAGTTAATCGATATGACAATCGAGGAAAAATATCTAGAACTTCGTAAAAAATCTGTGAATCGAAAAAATAATAGATACTTGTTCACCTACCTTGAAAACCGACCAAAATCTCTCCTATACAACGCGCTGTTTAAGAGATAAAAGAAGAAATAAGCTACAAAATGTGCTGAATATTTCACGAGACACTTCCAATATGGCTTCCGATACGCTGTCCACTTAAAAAAATTGTGTGCCTCATCATGAAAAGTCTTTAAAATATGCCTGAGAGCCTAGAAACGATGAATGATTCTGTCCGACTCCGTCCGTTGTTTTGAAAATTTTTTATCACTGGGGCGATGTTTTGATTTGTTTGTTGATAAACACAAGCGCGCCTTCTCATTGGTTGAAAAGTGTCGCGTGACCAGTTGGCCCTGTCCTTAAATTTAGGGATATTCCGGACTGGTTATGTGTCTCCTCATGTATGGCTTTCGTTTGCAATTACAGTTTTCTTGCCCAAAGTCCAAAGCAAAGGAAGCTGCCTATTGACTGCAGCAGTAGTTACAAAAGCCACAATGCCAGGTTTTCGCCTTGCAAATCCAGACAGGGCGAAGATTGATGTGAAGTACTTTTGTTCTTACTGCGAGCTACTACTGAGAGAGGCCATGCAAACGAGCTGTGGTCATTTCTATTGCCAGTCTTGTCTGGAGAATCTTGTGGATGTGCGGTAAGTCTATCAGAGCTTTGTTGTTAAATTGAAAAGTTTACTGTTCTTTTTGCGAATATTTTCTAGGAAAATAAGTCCCTTTGTTATGGCAGTGAAAGGTTTGAACCTAGGAGTCCTTTCATAAGGAGGTTGAATTGATGATTTCACTTTCACATTTGTTTTACCGAGCTCAAAATTTACCATCTTCCATTCTTTCACCACACATTGCGGCATCGACATTGTTGATCCCAGCAGTTTGCAGGACGCGTGTCAAATATGAACCTAGTATATGGCTTCGCTCTCCATGACTTCTCCGTAGCTCTAGAGCGCCCGCCCGGTTTTTAGGAGGTCATAGGTTCGAATCCTGTCGGGGAGTCAGATTTTTTTCTTTGTCTCACGCTCGTGAGATGCTGATAATTTCACTTTCACATTTGTTTCACCGAGCTCAAAATTTACCATCTTTCATTTTTTCTTTACCAAAGTGTTTTTTAAATGACAGCTGCATGCTAGATGATCATTTTGATTGACCAAGTAGATACCTAATGATACACCTAAAAGTGCGTTAGTAATATCACCGATACCCTAAACGAAGAAAGGAAATTGCTAACATACAAGCTTTCTTACAGGGATCCATTATCAGTGATGCTGATTTGCCTTGTGGACCAGAAACAATTACCGAAAAACGAGGTATGAATTTTTGTCCCAAAAGAACTATGGAGTGTTGGAATCACAGAAATAAGAGGAAATTATCCAAGATTCCAAATTTACGATGTTTAAATATTTAGTTATTTCGAAAATTTCCAATTCCCTATTATCTTCCAAAATTTGGGATTTCAATATTACGCTTTGTATTCAATGTTAGCGTACATTCACCAGTGTCTTTCAACAGGTCTTTCCCGACAACTTCATGCGCCGTGAAGTATTTGCCCTCGTAGTTTCCTGTACATTCATGGAGGACGGGTGCAAATGGAAAGGGGAAGTCAGGCACTTAGAGGTATGCGAAGACGATGCAGAAAAAACAAACAAACAAACAAGAGATGAAATAGATGTAGGGGGCTCAATCGAGCTAATTTGTTAATTTGATTTACGCTTGCCTTAACTTTCACTAAAACAAATTAGTTTTTCCAATCGTGGGTGGCCCTTCTAATTACGTAAAAGGTGTAGTGGTTAGGTTTCTGTAAAAATGGTGATTACCTCATTTTAGGATAATACTCAGAGCTACTCAGGGTAAAAATGATAACGAACCACTAGCTAGTTCGAAGAGTAAAAATTCTCTATTAAGACCCCCCCTTTTAAATAAACCTCCCTCCCCTCCCCCTTATTATTCTTCACTAATGAAAGATAGACTGTATTAATGAATCACGACTGTAAAACTTTGTGTGGACTTATCCGGGATAGTTTATTCACCAACAGGAAGTTCGGATTTGATTCTGATCCTCGGCTGCATGACCTAAAACTTCTTGCAACTGAACTTTTCCGCTTAGTATTCTAGTTCTTTATGGAGAATTGATACCATCGTCAGGGCTAAATTAAATAACCGCCCCCGTCTCCAATGTGTTTGAAATAAAAAAGCCCCCCGGGGAGCTTAATAGAAAATTTACGGTATATCTGCAGCCTCTAGGCTCAAATACCGTAAATCCTCTATTTCCCCCTCAAATAACCTCCCCTCCATTTCATAAGTAGGGCTTTCCACAAGTTGCCCGAAATTTCCTAAAAAGTTTAATTTCTCGTGATTTCCCAAAAATGTCCTTAGGAAAGTCAAAATTAAGTTCCTTTTTGAAACAAAAAAAGCTCAAAAGTTGCTCAAGAAAAGAAACTTTTTTTGCTGCTCTTTTCCTTCATTTAGTCTGATGCAAAAACATGTAGATTGTACAACAAAAGTAATATTTGATTTCTAAGCGTTTTTGCAAAATTTTGCAGCGTAATCAGGAGCCCATGAGCCACAATTAAAAGCAAAAAATGTATGAGTAAACACCATGCATCAATATGAATAATTATATAACAATTATTCACCGAAGTGGGGGTGGCTGGTGGTGGTGGAATTTACCGGCGTTTTTTTTTTTTCTACCACTAGCAACCGAGACTGGGGTGAATAATTGTTTTAGTATGTACTAAAACAGTGAGATAATTGAGCGCAAAAATGATGATTTTTAACTCATTTCCTGTCACCAACGATTACAATTTTGGCGCGCAATGACCGAACGGCCGCGGTCGTCGCTTTTCCTTACCGACAAATAAAACTTTTGAAGGCATTTGTGTAGCTCTTGCAGGGAAATTTCTTCAAAAGGAGTTGTGAATTCTTTTTGTATGTAAAATCATTCTGTAAAAAAGATTATCAAATTTAGTTTTAAGCTTATTTATGAACAACTCAACCAAATAAAGTAACGCAAGACTTAAGCTGAAGCTTAATTTGCATTTGTAAACCGGTTTTATCGATAAATTCAAGTCAAAAAGACAAAGTTTTACCTGTTAAAACTTCCAAACCGAACTTCGTCACCGTCGTCGTGTATTTCGGGAACAGCTTGCCTGATTAGTTGTGAAATTTCTTTGTTTGTTATAACAGCAAACCGGGAAGGCATTTTGCTCGCAACTTACGCGATTTTGGCGTCGCTCGCTCGGAGGAAGTGGAGGTGAATCAGTGAATAGTGCAGTATATTCACTGACTGAGTAGCCAATCAGAGCACGCGAAAAACACTATCTACTGTTTTAGTATGTACTAATCAACAATTATTCCTCGAGCCGCGGGCTCATGGGCTATTGACTCAGAGGTCATGAGCGCGAGAGGAATAATTGTTTTCGTAAGTTCCAGCTAGTTGGTCATAAAGATCGAGACAAAACAACTTTAGCTAGCAAAACGCGATTCAGGCGCCATTGTTATTGTTTTCAAAGCCGGCGCTTTTCGCTTCTAGGGAGCTATAACATATAGCCTAGTAGTAGCTCAACCAATCAGAACGCAGGATTGACAATAGACCACTAGTTGGATTTTACTAAATAGATTTAGCCAGGGCTAAAAGCGAAGCTCTGGATATAGAGGGTGTCCCAAAAGTTTGTTCAAAAGACTAGACTTGTTTGTTGCTTTTCTCTCTAAAAGTGATGTTACACGAGAAGATTTGTAACGACGATTTTTAGCGCAACACAGGGTTCCAATGTGGGAACAATGTTGCAGCCTTTCGAAACGATGTCGCAACAATGTTGTAACGCTGTGTTGCGCTAAATATGGTCCTTGCAAATCGTCCGGTATAATTAACATCACCTTAAAAGTCCGGGTGGACAAGCGATTTCCTGCCAAAAAAACCTCTTAAGATGCATTTAGGTTGCCATACCTGTTGATTGAGTTATTTTACATTGGTATGCCTGTTGTGCAGACCGACGGGCGGTCGGGTATTCGGATGTATGGTCACGTGACAACCAAAATTTGTCGGATGCATAGGTTACCAAATTTTCTTACCCATGGTGCTCCGTTGCGCAAGCTTCGCACCCGCGAGAGCTCCGCTATTAGTACAGGTAATCAGATGATTTCGAGTGCAATTTGGAATGAATAAGCAAGAGTAAAGTTTTTCAAAGGCTAACAAAATTGCACGAGCCCGTGGGGCGAGTGCAATTTGTGGTCTTTGAAAAAATTTACGAGTGCTTATTTCTTCCAAATTGCACGAGAAAAATCATGTGATTACTTATTAATTGCCAACGAGGCAACCGAGCTAAGAAGGGAGGTTGACTCGGCGGCAGAATTATAACGCCGCGCAATGTAGGCAAAAACTCTCAAATACTGCGTAACCCTGTAAAATTTGCATTTTTGACCACATTCGGATATTTGGGTAGTGACGTCATGGTCTTGCATTTACCTCGTGGTCCGAAATTGGGTGATTCAGTGTGCAGCTGTTCGTTGTGTGCTCTAGAGGACCTAACAGCAGGTGAGGAATCTTTAATACGATTTCTAGTTTGAAAGGGAAATTAGTGCTCTGGTTTGCTTAATAAATTGCTTTTAAAACAACAGCTGATCAAGGAATAGGTTTTATTTACTCAAAGTTTTGTCAAAACCAGCTTGTTCTTTGCAGCTCGATTTACATGTAGGTAGCTTGTTCGCTTCTCTACTCAGAACCAGGGTTTTCAGTGTTTTCTTTTCCTTCGTGAATTGAACAAGGTATAGGGTTATATTCTCAAAACGTTTATCAGAACCAGCGTGTTCTTCGCAGGTCGATTTACATTGAGCCAGTCCTCACTTCCCGTGAGGAATGCAACGTATTTGCGGACCTTTTTTTAGAATTTATTTATGTCTTTCGAGAGATTTTATCAATCACCATGTTTTTTTGCTGCTCGATTTACATTGAGACAGCTCAAAACTGCCGTGAGCAATGCAACGAACTTGCAGACCTTTTGTTTCGAAGACTATCATTGTGCCTTTCAAGAGACTCTTTGTCCTGTGACACTCGCTCATCAGATCTTTGTATTTTATTCAAATTTATATTTTTATACCTCTGACACATTCCGCCCCAGTCTTGCGCTTTTCACACATTTTACTTTACACCAATTTTTTCACGTATATTACCACGCGAAATATTTTTCTTATCCCTGATGACGCTGTTGCTCGGAATTTAATTATTATTTTTAATTTCAGCAGTCAAAGGCCTCATTTGAACTATATTTTTCTTTCTAACGTTTATAGTTTTGATACAATGGAATCATCCATGAAACATAAGTACTAACTTGCTCATATTTACCAACAAAGCTTCAAGCCATGTTGTTATTGTTCAATAAAAGTGAAAGCCTAGAATGTGCCAAAGTTGTTGTTTTGGAGTTGGGTGCCATCCTTTTCTATATAGCGGAATCCATTTTAAACCTAAAATTTTGAAAAAAACAAAAAATATCGCGAAGATCTGGATAGGCACATTGCAGAAAAGATATACGAATTCGCCTCGTTGGCACTTGCCGGAAGGTACCCCTAGTAATATTCATGACAAAATTGCGGGATAGCTTTAAAATCTCT